CCATTTGCTACTAGGTTGGAGGCCATTTGCTACTAGGTTGGAGGCCACTCGCTACTAGGTTGGAGGCCATTTGCTACTAGGTTGGAGGCCAGTGCTACTAGGTTGGAGGCCAGTGCTACTAGGTTGGAGGCCATTTGCTATTAGGTTGGAGGCCAGTGCTAAGGCCAGGCCAATACATTAAATTTCCAAAAAAATTGAGTCAGAACACCATGGCTGCAAGCTTTTTGACCCCGCCCCCGTACTACCCTGGGCTGAAGCGTCGAACATTTGCGGTTTGGTGCTTTGTGTGGGTGGCGCACACCAGGGCATCATTTGCAGCAGCAAGTGGCTCATAGTTATATAGTAAAAATAGAAAAACGATTGACAGAAATAGATAAATAAATGCAGTTGCAGCAATTGGTGCATAGTCTCATACCTCAGTCCCGATAGAAGAAATGTCAAGAGTGAGGCGCGATTTGTCATGGCCCAGTTTTGCGGTGTTCGGCTGCCTGGGTTGCTACGTCTTGCTTCTTGCTACTAGTAGTGCCCTTGTTACTAGTAGCGATGCACTTGTTACTACTAGCTGTTGGTTGGTTGCCGAAATCGATGTATGTGGTTTTCACTGTGGGCGGGTATCTACGTTCAGCCGCTTGAGTCCTACCAAGTCGGGCGCCTCGACCACGGTGTACAAGCGATGATGATCTCAATCTGCCAATCCCACCAGGCTGTGATGAAGCCACAAATGAGAATGGCCTGTTGACCCCCAAATCCTACATGGTGAGCCTTGCAAAGGTGTGCATGGTCAGTTTTTTAGACACTTATACTGTTATGTGAGAATTGATGGTCCCACACCTGCCGCACAAATCTCATTCGTTGATTCGATCTGCTGCTGAAGCGATCGTGTTTGTGAACACAAACAAGAAGCGTAGACCTTTGTGTGCCTCAGGGACAGTACACACAAAACTCCAACATGCTTACAGGTCTAGTAGATTGATACTTAAAAGAAATGCCAACTGCGCAAACCTATCCAACCTCATCGAAGACTCGTAACAACCTCCCTAGCCATACTCATCGTTGGCTGCATCCCTACCGATCGTACCCTTTTTGGGGCAGCGATGAGTTGCGGCAGTCTATCCGGGATCGCTACGCGCCCCACGCGCCCGACGCTGACGGAATCGCAAACACCTGTCGATGCAGAGGACTGGGCGGGACACCGCCAGTTTGGGAGACTGATCTGATGGGCTTTCAACGAAAGCTGAGATGCAAGACCAGAATGCAGCCCGCATTTGGAAGACTGATCTCTTAATCCTTTGCCGGAAGAGGTCCTTTCTTAAACAGCTCCAAACCTTTTCTTCCGAATTCAGCCGATGATGTCAGGTCAGGTGTCCGTGGGTCTTCATCTGGTCCAGCCCACTGATGCAACGGCGGCATGTTGCATCAGCCCACGATGAGAAACCCGAGCTGGCGCTCACTTGATCAGAAAAGGGAGAATGCCTGGGCCTCACTCGAAGCGTCCCACCAAGTGGACGCCCTGGCGCTGTGGGTTTCGGGTCTATGTGGAACGTTCTTGTTCAAATGCAACAACGTTCTGCAGTGCTTGCCACTATCACCCTATTCTTGGGCAGGTACCATGCACGAGACAGAAGGCATGGTGGGAAGGTGTTTCTCTGCTGCGACCCCGCCTCGCTCGACTCCACGATGTCTGAAATGGTTCCAATTTTGAGCTCGAAGGAGATCTCACCACAAAATGTGAGGGCGTGAATCTGCTGCGCCAAGCTGATTTGGTCATAAAGACCAAATGTCAGGGCAGTATGTCTGGTCTAAGTCCCTTTGTAACAAAGGTAGCAACATGTGGAACTTATTCAGGATCCTTGCTACTTGGAGGCGAGTGCTAGTAGGTTGGAGATCGCTATTAAGTACTAAAATGCCTTTGGACTATTCAGGATCCCCTTTACTAACCCACTTGGTCTGTGATGGAAGCCTTGGAGATCTCATAGCCACCAAAAAGTTTCTTCTTCTTGGTAATCGGCCTAAGTGCATTCAAGAGAGGTCTGAGTGTCAAATCGCATGCACATGGGCATTCAATTGGTCTGTTGGAGCTTGTGGCACTTGTGGCTTGCATAAGCCATTTAGTTCTCGACATGTTGTCGCTATAAACCAGTGACGGCCGTTGACATGTGGGAGCTTTGAGCTCCCGACCCAAGATCTCCGCCCACTTTTGCCGAGATCTGAGTCGAAAGAAGTGACAGAAGAAACCCAGATCGGCATGTTTCAGGGAAGGATACTAGGAGCAAAGGGCATCGCTACGAACGGAGCAAGAGGACGCAAGGACGCTACTAGAAACAAAGGGCATCGCCCCTAGAAGCTTCTTGTTCCTGGGAAGGGTTTCAGTGTCAAAAACACAGAAGATTCACGCGATGCATCGAATAGCATCGACCCAAGTGCCGCACGTCATCATCGCTTTCGGCACGGGCATAGTTTTCAAACTTCTTCTGCAGTGCCTGGTGCCCACGACACGGACGATGCATCGAACAACACCAAGCACCTGGTTCACCCGTCCGGTTGGAGGAATCCGGTTCATCCACTCCTGTGCACCGCCACCGTAGGCCACGTTCTCCAGTTTGAACTTCAGAGCTTTCAGTGCTTCTTTCGCCTTTCCGCACCGAGCTTCGCCCAAACGCCCCTAAGATGTGAAGAAGAAGAATGGTGGGAAAGTCGTACAGCCTAATAGCAATGGCCTTCAACCTAATAGCTACGAATAGCGTCCTTGCTCCTAGTAGTAAGGCCAGGAGCCCCTAATAGCTTCTTGTTCCTAATAGCAATGGCCTCCAACCAGGAACGTCGTGGGCACATTTACATACATTCACTGCGGGAAAACTGAAGCTCGTGACCGACACACCATCAGTGTGTGATGGAAATACACACCGCACACGCCTTCCACTCGAACCACCACAAAACCAACGTTCAGTCGCTCATTGAAAAGCATGTCGAAAATATATAAGTGTCACCCGTCATGGCAAATCGTTCAGTTAGTCATATTCCAAATGATCACAAGTTAGTCATACCAACATTTTACAACAGCTTTTTACAAACAACGGTGAACATGACCCACGAAATGAACCGCACAAAAACGTCCCACACGGGAGTTTGACCTCCTTCTTGCTCCAAGTGATCTCTTTCTGTCGCCACGACTTGGCAGGTTTGCCAAAGAAATCCCTGCGGCTGCATGGGCTGCAGGTGTGCACTCCAGCAAGACATGGAGCAGCAAAACAATGCTAAGAGAAAGGTCCGCATCAATGAGAAAGGCAAGATCCTTCAGAGTGCTAGTAGGGTGGAGGCCATTGCTTCTAGGTAGGAGGCCATCGCTCTCAGGTTGGAGTGCAACTATGTGCAAACCCTTCCCAAGCTTCTGTTCAGCGTCCAACCCCTCACGCTTCCTGTGCTTCTTGAGGATATGCCAAACGCGAGCTTCCCCTTTCTTCACGGCGCGTTCCGGCAACTTCTCAGCCTGCAAACTCCGAAATGCCGCCCGTGCCCAGCTGTGACCGACCTTCAACTGGCATCTACAAGCACTTTACAAGCGCTCTTGTTGTAGCATTTGTCAAACTTTGACGAAGCTTGGCGGCTGACAAGTTACGGAAACAGAACACTTGCAACATCGCACACATCCAGGGCCCAAACAAAAGTCAGGCGCGTGATGTTGCGCATCTACGGGGAACGCGTGCTTGAAGATTGTACGAAGAGGGCGGGTCCAAAGTAAGTCACCGAGGGTCCGGATGCTTTGGTTATGGTTTGTACGGTTTTCGTCGCGTTCAACGGGGGTGTGATGGGGTCATTCACCACAAATCATCGACCACATCACACCACCATGCTATGTTCCATCACACATCGCAGATCGCACCACATCACAGATCGCCGTACACCACATCACTCCATTGAAGATGTTTACATGAACATAGAGTCAGCAAGCACTTCGCAGCATCACTTCACCAATCTTCCTACAAATGACAGAAACTTCTCCCCAGTAAGAGGTAGTTGCATACTCTTTGAGTTACCATGTCAATGGATCCGCTGGCCTCTTTCTTTTCGGCCTGGCACGGTCAAAGCACCCCGGTTTGCGGCGAGGTCACCCAAGAGGGTGACCCTCGAGGAACCTAGTGGCGCGATGTCCTCCAAGCTCATAGCGTTCTTGCTCCTAGTAAGGAGGACACTTGTTACTCTTGCATCACTTGCTACTAGTAGCTTTATTGTTACTACTAGTAAGGCACTTGTTACTAGAAGCGATGCACTTGTTCCTAGTAGCGAACATTGCTCCTAGTAGTAAGGCCAGGAGCCCCTAGTAGTGACCTTGCTCCTAGTAGCGATGCCCTTTGCTCCGAACGTAGCGATGCCCTTTGCCTCAGAGCTTCCCTGCCTCCACTTTCCGTCTCTTCTCAACCTCTATGGATGCCGAGAGTGGATCTTTTGAAGACCTCTGGCCGCGAGGCGCTGGAGCGAAGGAGCAAAGTGAAGGTCACATGTCCACGGTGCTGATCTATAAGATTGATAGACCCTACAAAAGCCTCTGCATTGCCTGGTGGTTGGACGTTCAAACTGCGTCTGCCCACTCTCATGCTGGTAGTAGATGAGGCCGGGCTGCGCAAAGAAGCAAAATGCCATGGGAATGACTCTAGGAGAAGGTCCGTTTCCTTGAAATGCATACGATGATGTTCTCGGAAGCACGCAAAAAGATGATTGAAAAAAAATATAGCTCTTTTTTCCCCAACAATGGATGTCCAGCTCTCTTCGCGATACCAGAGCGCCTCTCAAATGAAAGCGATACCAGCCCGCATAGCTCAACTTCGGGGACTTTGCAAGCAAACAAAGTCCCAACATCAGAGAAATGCCAATGTCAGGATGCTGTTTTAGCACATGAGCCGGAGCCTGGATGATAGATTCTGATAGATCCTTCGGTAAAGAGGTTGTGTAGCTTTCTCAAGAAGTGGTCTGTCAAATTTCAATTATCATCCAAGCCTACTTGTTCGCTAGCCTACTTGTAGTTTACACATGCCGCCTTAGCTGTGGCAGCTTTCAATCTCTCAGTCCAGGATCAAGCATTCCGTGGAATTCTCTTCCAAAGCAAGTCCAGTGCCAAGAGTTGGGGGTGCAACAGGAGGAGGTGGAACTGCTGATCCACTCCAGTGACTTGCGCCGAAATCAACTTCTTGATCGTTGTTTTGACTTGTGGAGAGCAAGGGCGGCGGCCACCACTTCTCATCCTGCAATATCTCACCTACAAATTCCTTTAAACCAGATGCAAAGCAGGGGAAGACCAGTGTTAGATAGAATGGCTGAAGCAAGAAGGAAAGCAACGAAACAAAGACCCGACTACTCGATCTGAAAGCTTGATAAATCGTGCACATCAGAGATTGAGATAGAAACACCTCCAACCTAATAGCGATGGCCTCCAAGCTACTAGCGATGGCCTCCAACCAAATAACGATGGCCTCCAAGCTACTAGTGCCATGTTCTTGATGTCTTGACATCATGTTCTCCTTGCTTTGAAGGCCACCAAGACTCGCTCCCGGCTGCCAGGGTGCCGCGTCTGCGGAGAGGTTCGAAGCAGGTTCCTCTGCCGGCGGCAGTGGCACTGACCATCCCCATGGAGAGGGCAAGGACTCCCAGCCATCATTGCCAACTGTTCGGACCTCGAATCGCATTGCGACTCCAGAAGGTTGCAAGATCCGAATTCGAAAAAACGAGAGAGGAAATGAATGAAAGGAAGGGAGGTCCACAGAACATGAAGAATACTTATATAAGAAGGATTCTCGGCTCGATTGAGGGTGAGGTCAAGACAAAAATGTCTTGTTCAATGGGTTCTTTGTGGAAGACAGCATCCTTGTTAGTCTTCGTGAAGTTGTCTTCCCTTCACACCTTCAAGGTTGAGCATTGGTCAGCCCTTGACCTTTGCTTCATTATCCAGATTCTTTCGCCTTCTTCTGTGAAGTCTGTCTCGTTTGTGTTTGATTGTGTTCCTGTCCTCCTCAGTCCTGTGAGAGTTCCTTGCTCCCCAAATGCAGGTTTCCCAACCTATATATGTGCTGCAACCCTTGGTCATGCCCTTCCAGGTCAGGTGGAAAACCCGCGCCCGAATTAGTGACCTGCGTTGACGACTTCAAATTGACCTTTGCATCCAGCAGGCCTGAGCACAGTAGATCCGGCCAGGTGCAGGTCCTGCAATTGGTGAGGCCTTCAGTGTTTCTTCCCCAACGGGCCAACCAATGATTCACCCAGACTTGTCTTGCACAGCGTTTATCGTACCAAGTCATCATTTCAGCTTCCCATCCAACATGCACTCAAGCTCCATGCTCAAGAAACGTTGGGCCGATGTCGGCTTTCTTCCAGAAAACATTTACCCGTTAATACTTGCATGCGCGCACGCTTGAGTAGTACACACGGTCAGTTTGTCAACTTCGGTTTGAGGAATGGATCTCAGTGTCCTGGCCGCAAGCCTCCAACTCGCAGCTCCACCAAGGTCCCAAGCTTCGCCTGGCTTGCGATCAGCAGGTGATCTTGCCTGTGGAAGCCTCCAACCTATATAGGAATGCCGAAATGCCCTCCAACCTTTACAAAAATAGCAAAGAGGGAAGAACTGCATGATGTTCTACTAGTAACAAGAAGCTACTAGGGGCTCCTGGCCTTACTACTAGGAACAATGTTCGCTACTAGGGGCTCCTGGCATCGCTACGAACATAACAAGAAGCTACTAGGGTCCTGGCCTTACTACTAGGAACAAGGACGCTACTAGGGGATCCTGGCATCGCTACTAAGAGCATTCTTGCTACTAGTAACAAGAAGCTAGTAGTAACAAGTGCCACGCTAGTAGTAACAGGTGCCTTACTAGTAGTAACAAGAAGCTACTAGGCTTGGAGCGATTGGAGAAAATCTGCCTCGGGAGCGGTTCGCTGGAATCGCTCAGAGACGGTGGTGCCAGCCTGGACGGCGGTGTGTCTCATGTGTCTGAGAATCACTGACCGCCGGTCTGCCGGCTGACGCAAAAAAGAGCTGCCCTGCTCTTGGCATTTGGCAAAGCCAAACTTGAGAATCCAAACAAATAAACTCTCCCAGAACTTGTGAATATCCTTTTTTGGTGAGTTTTTGACCCTTCGCTTCTCAGTCAGCCTCACGCAATTCAACCACATAGGCAGCTGCTTGAAGAACAGCTGGCCACCTGTCGCATGAAAAGCCGAACAAGGCTTGCTAGACCTGCTAAGGACAGGAACATTCAGTTGAGAGTGAAGGAGCTGGTTTTGTTTTGTCTCCATGAAAGATCTTACTATATACCAACAATACATTATTTTGCTCAAGAGCGTGCAGCGGACACAACCTATGACTACCACAAAATAGAACATGTTTGGTTTATCGTTGCTTTGCTTTTTTCTTTAGACCTTTATATAGATGTCTCTGGACCTCTTGAGATGTCTTGTGTTTGTCTTTCGCTTTTTTCATGTGTCTTTTCAGACCACTCTCGAGACCTTTAGCCCTTTAGCCGTTCCTGTTGTTTCGGTTCAATTCGGGGCCCCCAGCCGCACTGACAGAGAAAAGCCGTACTCATCGGCCGGGCAAAGCTCCGGTGCAGCGGGCGGCGGCACCACCAGCCCCGTGGGCGAACGCCACGTTTGCGCCGTGTAACCTCAGCGCGGGGTGCCGTGCCAGCTCCAATTTGGGTCGATGCTCCGTTCGTAGCGATGCCAGGAGCCCCTAGTAGCGTCCTTGTTCCTAGTAGTAAGGCCAGGAGCCCCTAGTAGCGTCCGATCGCTCCTAGAATGTGAAGTGCGAATATGATATATGGATGCATTCTGAAGCACCTTGCTGGGTGGGGGAACCAAGTTCCGATCCTAACTTATGCCGATTTTACAGACATATCACATATCGCACGTCTGGTCATTGCTCGCGTTCAAGACATGCCTTTGAAACATTGTTGAACAAATATGTCCAAATATTCCAACAAGGACGCTACTAGGGGCTCTTGGCCTCGCTACTAGGAACAAGAAGGCTACGTTCGGGGCTCCTGGCCTTACTACTAGGAGCGATCGGACGCTAGAAGTGGAGCGATCGGTCGCTACAAAGAACGAATGATCTCAGCTTGGACACCTGGATCTGGAGGATAGACTTCCGGAGTCCAGGAAGACCACAGTGATGGATGGTGAGGGTGTGGCGGTGGATGAAGAGGTGGAAGGTGACCTGGAGTGAATGCTGGCGGTGCTGGCGGCTTTGCTAAGGGCAAGCTGCCGCTTGTGCCAAGCAGGCTCGAATAGCCTTCCGGATTGGAGGCACTTGGTCCACTTGGTGTCACACTCTTGGCCACCTTGCCCTTGGGATCTTGGTTCCCTTGGGATGGAAGACATGGCTTGGAAGGATCCGACGCTTCAGAAATCGTCTGGCAGTTCGTGAAATAGGAGATGCGCGCCTCGTAAGCAGTGCTGATCTGTAAACTATTGACCACGCAAGAGGAGCAGCTCTGGTCAAAGCGATTGCTTACTGCCCCTAGCTTCTTGGAAGTTACATCCACCGAAGACCAGGATGAGTTGCTGCCAACAGGCCTCAACTCCACGGTGTATCCTACGGCCAAAACCAAAGGTGACCAAAGGACCATGAGACTCCCTGCTTCCAGCTCCGCATCAGCATCTCTGGTCGACAGAGTGGGTGCTGGTAAAGCGGGAAGCGTTGGGATCTCCTCCATACTGGTCGTTTTGGACAACAGCCTCGCGATCAGGGTGCCCTTCTCATCTGCGTATGCATGAGCAATGCGGCTCAGAAAACGGGCGACATCCACGATGCTCGAAAAGGTCACAGATGCAAAGCTCCTGTCCCTGGCATGTGCCACAATGGCATTGTTGGCACCTTGTTTTGAAAAGAACTTCATGAGTTCGGTCTCGTCCAAATCCGAAGGAAGCCCTGCTAAAACCAGCTTGTCTCCAAACGCATGGCATGGCAACCGCAAGTTTGGTCGATATCCTGGCAGATCATCGCTCCTTGTCCTGGGCAAGTCCAGGGTGAAGCAGCCTAAGACAGTGCCCTGCGGCCGAGTGGTGGAGGATAAGCACACCATTCTGGCAAAAGGCTCAGATGGCCTAACTGACTCCTGCCCAATCTTGCTCTCAGCCTCCAAATTGGATGTTTGGAACAAAACCTAGCGGGCTCTAGTAACAAGGGCATTACTACTAGTAGCTAGAAGCTACTAGTGCCTTTGACAAGAACGCAAAGATATTCAAATCATCTGAAGAGAAAGACTTCTACGACCCTCCAGCGCCTCTGGAATACAGAAACTCACCAAGTCTCCAGGGATTGTGCGCAACTGTCCAGCTGCTTCAAAGTCAAAAAAGACCTCTGCAGGACGAATGGGATCTGATTCCGAAATCCGCAATGAAAGGGCATCGAATGGTAGCTCTTAGGTTGGAGGCCATGGCTATTAGGTTGGAAAATGCATCGTCCAAACAGCACGGGCCTCCCTTCGCCCGCAGACAGCAGTAGCCTGCAAAGGGACTCAGATGCTGCTTCAGTGTTGGGGACTAAATGTCATCTCCACAGACCCAAAGGTCTAGAGTCTAAAGTCTAAAGAAAGAAGAAACAGAGAAAGAAAGGACTGTCGAAGTAAACATAGAAACACGACAAAAGAGCTTGCCGTAGGTTGGAGGCCATCGCTATTAGCTTGGAGGCCATCGCAACGTCGTTTTTGTTTGGACTGTCGACTCGTCGCTCGCTCGCAACGACGGCCTCTTCGCTCTTGATGGTGCCAGGACGACCGCCTTCTTCGGGTGGATGTAGCACACTTCCCGTCAGCTTATGCAGACGTTGCACGCATACTGCTTGAGGATATCCCTCAATAGATTTCCGTACACGGAAGAAGACCAAATCCTCTTCAGCCAAACGTGGCGCGGAGGATTTTTCACCTTCTTCTTTTGAGCTGGCAGCACATGCCGCAGCCGCTGCTTTCGAAGCTTCTGGCCCATGGCAAGCAGCTGCCAGCGCAGCACTACAAGCTGCTGCTGCAGTGTTCCTGCAGTCTGAACGGTACACATGGCCTCCACCCTAGTAGCGATGGCCTCCTACACATGGTGTCGTCAAATCGGACAGCCGGCCAGTTCTAAGTGTCAGACCCAGTCATGACCATAGTGAAGGCGGTTTCTCTGTCTATGCCTGTGGCGAGCAAAGCAGCCATAGTTGCCTCTGCCTGTCAGTTTTGCTCGACAAAAGGAACTGTCCCAAAGATCCAGCCAAAAAGTAATCATCAAATTATGTGTTTTGTAATATAAATAGTTGTACATAGTTGTACTATTTTAGGTTACTTCTTAGCTTTGGCCTCCAACCTACGACCGATGGCCTGGCCTTAGGCATGTAGACATCGCGTCCAAATTGGTCTGCGGTCTCTGTACAGGCGAGGAAGCCAAATCCGCGACGATCGTTATACGACTTCACCACTCCCAAGAAGATCTCCGTAGAAACGTCCTCGTCGTCCACATCAGCCAAGGTCGGCGGAGCCTGATTGCACACGTCAGTACAAAGCAAAGTCAGTCCAGTGAAGCAAGGAAAAGGAACACGGAAAAGAGAAAGAAAAGCAAAGCTTAAATGGTGGAGCCATTCCAAGAATTCGGATTTGATGAGTTCACCAATTGGACACGTGAGATCAGAAAGATGCTAAAGGTGAGCGTGCAAACAGAGGACGAATGATGATGCATCATGATTGTTGTCTGTGTGTGTCTTGTTTGGCTAGAAGGTCCATCTGTTGGGTATACAGTGCCGGATCTAAAACCAAGAAGGCGTTCCTTGGCAACTGCAACACATATGTGATGAAGTTGAATTGAATTCCGCGACAAAATGGGAAAAAGAAGCTACGTTCGGGGCTCCTGGCCTTACTACGAACGGAGCGATCGGACGCTACGAACGGAACAATGTTTGAAAGAAGGCGTTCCTTGCAGTTGACAATTTTGGGGAAAAACGTCTCAGGAACAAGAAGCTATTAGGAACTATGTTCGCTACTAGGGGCTTCTGGCATCGCTACTCGGAGCGACTAGGGGCTCCTGGCCTTACTACTAGGAACAAGAAGCTATTAGGAACAATGTTCGCTACTAGGGGCTCCTGGCATCGCTACTAGGAACAAGAAGCTATTAGGAACAATGCTCGCTACTAGGGGCTTCTGGCATCGCTACTAGGAGCGATCGGACGCTACTAGGGGCTCCTGGCCTTACTACTAGGAACAAGAAGCGATTAGGAACCCAAATGAATAGCGCGAGCGCTTCTTCAAGGGTGCGTGAGCTATTCTGCGTCCGTTCGGTTGACTAGTAGAAGCTTACCTAGTAGTTTGTTTAGCCCTTACTTAATTGATGCCTTAACCGTCTTAACCCTTACTTAACTATATAAGTAGCCGCGGACTTAAGAAAATTGGGTATGAGCAGGCTTTAAAAAAGAAAACAACATATGGATCCATATGTTGGCCTCTTGCCGCAAAGGCTTGATCGATTTCTGTTCTTTCGAAGAAACCGAACACGCCGGTTGGACACCAAAGTCGCCATGTGTTTCGTCCCCGGCCTTGACATCCTTGTCCATGCAGGTCAACCCAGTCAGGGTCGCTTCGTTAACCCCTTTCCATGAGTTCTTCGAACCTAGAGCTACGCATTCCATCAACTCTTTGAGCCAAGTAGCCAACGTGCCACAGCGACAACGAGTCCAAACAAAATGTTTCGGAAAGACAAAAAGAAAAGACTCGAATGTGTGACGAGTCTTTGCGTTCTCCTTCACTTCGCACATTCAAAAACCATTCTGCACATTCCTTTTTAGCAAAATGAAACGACGTAAGCCACATAAGCATTTCCTCAAAGCTCGAAGGCGCTGAGCAACCCCCAGTGACCTCCGGCATCGGCATCACAGCCGTCTGGGAGCTCTGCGAGCGAGTCGCTCTCACGCTGACTTTGACCGTGAAGGAGCAAGAGTGTAGCTAATGACCGTCAGAACGATGACCAAAACCTTGGCCCCAAAAACAATGGAAGACACGGATGTATTTAAAAGGAAAAGAAAACTGCAGTCTGGCTATGTCTGGCTGTAGCAAGAAGTGGACCATGGTAGACCTAAGGTTTCCCATTTCAAGGTCCGATGGCGGATCTGCAAGATGCAGAGCTGGCGAGGTAAAGCTGGCGTTGCAAATGCGCACTGCCAAATGTGTGCACACAGTTCGAAGGCTGGCGAAACGATGCAACCGTCCTGCGGGCATCTGTGGCCATGCACTTGCGGCCTGGCAAATACAATTGATGTAACTACTAGCGTGGCACTTGTTACTAATAGCTTCTTGTTACTACTAGTAAGGCACTTGTTACTACTAGCGTGGCACTTTTTTTATTATCATGTAATATCTAGGAACAAGACGCTACGTTCGGGGCTCCTGGCCTTACTACGAACGGAGCGATCAGACGCTACGAACGGAACCATGTTTGGATGAAAACTCGTCTCGAGAAAGACGATCCTCTCGGCTTTTCGCTCGGCTTTTCGTCGGTTGCATTCTGTTTCATGTGACGCGCGCATGCTCGTCGGATCTTTGATTGGGCACTGCCTCGGTGTTTGGATCTGAAGTTGCAGCTTTAAGACGTCGCAAATCAGGCTCTTCTCCGCTTCAGCTTGGGGCCATGTGAGGCCTCTTCGCAAGGAAAGTGCCCTGCTAGTAAGGGGTAGGAAAGAAAGGGTTAATGCTAGTAGCAAGGGATTCCTGTTACGTTCCTGCGAACGTGTTTTTATGTGAAAGAGCTGCTTGCGTTTTTCACGAACGGAAAACATCAAGCACATTGATGAATTGTCCAAGGAACCATGAGGCATGTCGAGACGTGAAACTCCTTTCCGTGCACCGGCAAGTAGTCCGAGACCTGACAGTGGAGTACGGGAACAGAGCGATGAGCGATGGCCGCCCAATTGGCTTGAGCGATGACCTCTTCATCATGTTCGATCTCATATAGTATATGCTCAAATGAAGCCTGTTGCTTCATTTGGATTGTTTGCGCCTGCACATCCTGATTGTGCTCTGGAGAAACTGTGCTCTGGAGCAACATGTTGCTGCCGGTATGCTGAGGAGCAAACAGCATCTGCAATGAACACGTCAAACACATAGATCACCAGGATTGCTACCGCCTGGGCAGGTTCGGCCACGAAACCACCCGGGGTGGTGAGGCGGGTCCTGGCCTCGCCAATGTTCTTCAGCACAGAGTCGAGGCTTTTCAGAACAAGGAAGGTCGACCAGCCCTTGCAAACCCTGGCACATCGAAAAAGAAACGAAAGGAGTGCAAGGAGTGCGGTTGACCCCCGTTTTGCATGCGAGCACTTCATCGAACTTAGAGACGATGTCGGGTCAGTATCTGTTGCACGACAAAATGATCACAGATGATTGGACTCATGATACTATCATGTTTGTCCCTCCTTAGATCTTTTGTCTGTCTTTTCCGTTTTTCTCTTCTGCACGTTGTTTGGCACGTTTTGTCTTTGGACCGTTTTTAGCAAAAACTATCATGAGATCCAAATACTGTGGTATAAGAGCGATATCTGCAGACTCATCAGACAACCAAAGCAGACAACAAGACTTCGAGACAACCGCACGTCTTGTACTGGCCAGGCGCACGCGATCTGCAAAGGTCAGACTTGGGGCGGCACTGACCGAAGAACTGTCACTTTGGCTTTGGCTGATCTGTTCTTTCAGCAAATCCCCGGGAGAGGCAACATGTGAAACAGAAATCGTTGGTATGGCTACCGGCTCAGGTGAGGAGTCACTCTCAGAATCGGACATGATTTCAGGCTTCTGACTTTGTGCTGTAGCACGCAAGAACACGAGCTGATCGAGAGGATAGCCCAAGGACATCAAAGATTCCTTTGCAGTATCAAGTAACCCTTGGGGTCCTCAGCTCCACAAGTCCAAGGCAGCTCGAGAATTGTCCAAAAGATACTTTTCCTTTTCTGAGCCCGGTCTTACTTAATGAGTTAGGCACTGTTTTAATTAGGTAGGGGCGTAAGCTCGAGCAATAGGAAGCTCCTAGTAACTGGATGGATAGCTCGTGAGCTCGGTTCCTAGAATTTGGGGGAAACGAACCATATGTTTGAAACTTCATGTTGTTTTAAAAGAGGTTTACCCAAAAAAAAGAATCGACCTGGTCGAAGAAGTCCAAGTGTCCAGAGATTAGAATTCGCACCTGACGGCCTCGTGGTGGCATGACCTTTCGAAGCATGTCCCGATTAATATGTCCCAGAAGCAGTTCCTGTGGAGGATCTGGTCTGTGGTCCTCCAGAAAGTGACCATGACGCCCCGAGAAATAGCAGCGTGTCTGAAGCCTCTGCAATACATCCTTGACAGCTGTCAGAGTGTGTACCACCCGAACCTGTCCAGCTGATGCCTCTTGAATAGCCCTAAGCTCATCCAACATCAAAATATCCTGCAGGCTCCGGCTGGAATACAGCAAGACTGCCCTACAGTTTAGTGATTTGCCAGGAAGACATTCAGAGAGAATTTGCAGAGCTGGAGCGATTCCAGTACCACCTGCTATGATGCCAAGATCTTCCACTGGTCCCACTATCTTGCCGCCTTCGGAGAAGGACGGCAATTGCAGTGTCAAGAGTGGAGCAGAGACACGAACCCAGCAGTTTTGCTCCTCCAAAGGCGCATAGTTCTGCAGCGCGAGGTCTCTGGCTTCTTGTACCGTTCGTAAGGTACCAAAGAAGCGTGACACCGTGCCATCCGGGTATGTCTTGACCAAGAGATCCAACGACCCGTCTTCCCAATCGCTCACAGACGAGATGGGTGTATATTCTCGAACGGTGGAGCCCAGAAAGACTTGAATATGCCATGCACTTTCCGGATAGGGATGAGGATTCCCTGGTGATCGGCCGAGACGCAAATGATAGACACACGTGTCGGCCGTGACGCCGGTGATCTCTTCGACTTTCCACAAGCCGCTGCCGTCACCTGTGTCTACTTCGATCGATCCTCCTGCTTTGAGCCGCTCCACTCGACGCTGCAAGCGAGCAGACTCGTGGGTGGTACCGGAGGTCTTCATGAGATCTATGGCTTTCTCATAGAACTCCACAGCTCTTGTAGTTTGACCACTAAATGCATAGATATGTGCCGCTTCAACCAGTGCTTCGAAGGATCTGGGCTTCTCAAGCAGGGCGCGGCCAAAATCGTGCAGCGCTGCGGTGACCAGGGCTTCCACGTCGGTGTCGGAGTTCAGCTTGGCCAAACACAGGCGACCCCAGGCCTTGCCGCGAAGGAGCAGAAGATCAAAAACACGTGATCGACTCAGATGACGATCCGTCGTGATCGCCCCAGATCCGTGGATCAATCGATCTTCCATGTCAAGCGCTTTTGAGAGCGATTCGATGGCTCCCTGCATGTCATCCAGGGTGTGTTGTGGGCGGAACGGACTCTTGCTCAAGAGCCTCATGGCATCTGATTTGAAGCGAGCTCTTGTTAAAACTTCTTCAGGCACAGCAAACTCAGCACCTCGGCGGCGATGGAGGCGGGCGGTTCGGACGTAGGCTTCCTTTCGTCGAGGTTAGGAGTCGCTACTAAGCTTAAGTCGCTACTCCCTGGAACCCAGAAAGGCAGAAAGGATCACGCTGAATGATCTGGTTCCTAGATTTTTGGGAGGAAATCAGGTCTGTACGTCAAAGCTTCACTAAAGTCAAAACTGTTTGCATTCCTTGCATTGGGTTTCGTTTCAGGTGTTCTTTCTTCGGTTTCTCGTCCTGTTTTCTTCGCTCGTTTGCGCTTCCCAGAAACCTTGGGCTCGGAGGAACTTCTTGACCATTGCTAGGACCTTGCTGAAGGAGTCCAAACGATTCACAGCTTGGTTGCCGGGTTTCCCGGCTTTGGCTGGCATGTTCTCTAGCAAGGAGTTGGGACCTTGACCACATAGGCCCAAGCAGCCGCGCTGGCTGAACTTCAATGGCAACACCTCGGACAAGTCCTGCAGAAGACGGATGCCAATTGGAAATCGTCTTTACTCTCCAACCTAAGAGCGGCTTCCAACCGAATAACTCTCCACATCTCAAAACCGGCCTTCTGTAAGCACCTGCTGGAAATCTATAAGCACCCTGCTATCCTCACCCTGTGTTTCGCGAAACCTATTCTCCTCAAGGTCCGATAGTAGAGCGGCAGAGCCTTGTGACATGCAGCTGCCATGACTACAAACGCTAATCATAGCAGCGGGCATGCCACTTGAGCCGGAAAACTGTCAGGTTCTGACACGTGCAGGGCTCAGTAGTAACAAGTGCATCGCTTCTAGTAACAAGTGCCTATTTGGGCAGTTCTTAGATGATCCTAGATCCACAGCCGCTCGATCATGTCGCTGCTCTGGATCGGTCAATGTCCGCAGGGAGTGCCAAGAGCAGGCCACCACGATGGTACGCTCATCCCATCCATTCCAGAATCCATCTTCCCGTACATTCCCTTGGCTCAGTCAGCTCCGTTCGAAGGCTCAAGGGAAAGAAAAGACATCTACAGAAAAAATATGAAAAAAATCGATCAACAATAACTTATATATAAGTAAGTTCAATCAAGGTGTTTGCGTTACTTATATCACTTAGGTCACAGTACTTCGCTGTGGTACGCTCCTCTTCGCCGCAACCCCTCTCAGCTCCAAGCGGTCAAAGAGGAGCGTCAGGACGAGCGATGTCCAGAGCCAGGCGAATTTCAGCTGGGCGACCTGTCATCCGTCGTCATCCATCCATTAGTAACAAGTGCCTCGCTAGTAGTAACAAGTGCCTTACTAGTAGTAACAAGGTTCGCTACTAGGAACAAGTGCATCGCTACTAGGAACAAGAACGCTACTAGAAACAGGTGCCACGCTACTAGAAACAAGTGCCTTACTAGTAGTAACAAGTGCCTGTCATCCGTCGTCATCCATCCGTTCGTGTCCGCCCGGTTTGTCCGTCCGCCACCGGAGTCCGAGGCGGATGATGGAGTTCTGGCCGTCGGACGCCTCTTTTGGGAGAAAATATCGCAAAATACTTGTTACTAGAAGCGATGCACTTGTTTCTAATAGCTTCTTGTTACTACTAGTAAGGCACTTGTTACTAGAAGCGATGC